GGAGTAACTAAGACATATTTGGTCAAATAATCCTATTTTGGCTTCAAGATTATTTGATAGCATTTGTACTATTTCAATTAAATATACTCTGTATAGATGCAACAAATAAGCAAAATGGTTATTCCCTTACTATTTTGCGTATTTATTACCCAAATAAACGAAGTAATTTGATAATTTTTTAAGAGATTAATTTTAGAACACGAAAATATTATATTTAATAATTGGATAATAAAAAACAGATATTTATTATATTTATCAAACACTACCTTCCCGCGCTCTTATGTTGGTTTTCCCCATTATTAATGTTTTGTTTATTACTACAATACCGTTACTTTTTTTATAAACACCTATTATCAATTTTCAAATTAAATATATTTTCACATAAAATTTTTCAACATGACATACAGGGTGGTCCAGTTTCCGATGCGGAAACTTCAGGGACCGATAGAGATTCAAAAAATAATATGAGTTTGATATATAAACTATATTTGAAAAATGCTTCGTTAAGGAAATACAAGGTGTTCAAGATTGGTTTAAAAAAATCAAATTTATTAATTCTTGTCAAACGGCTAGAAGTTTCAATTAAATTTTGTAGTCGTTAACTGCCATCGAGAGAGCACGTTTTGCAATGAAAAACATTATTTTTAGTTTTGCCAGTGGCGTCCTTACTAGCACGTTACTGGATATTTCTAAGAAAAAATTGGTACGTCACTGCTTTTACATAAAATAAAAAAAAATTGAATTCTTCATTCAATTTGGAAGAAAAAAGCTCTCTTGATTTTTCTGTACGACTCAGCGTTTTCGTGTAAAAAAAATAAAAAACCCTTTTAACACATACAATTTAAAATAAATGTAATTTCCGTGACCACCCTGTATGTATCAACAATTCAAATGGTTTGAAATATACAATAGATATCTTTTCTTTTAATTAATATAACCTTTAAATCATTGTTATTCTAAATTATACAGGAATCCCCTTTTACTGCAATTTCCTGCATTTTTTAATATTATTTTTTATTTTTGGTTATAACAGTGAAAATAGACACAAACACAAAAATTTGGAGAATATTTACCAATTTTCCCTGTCTTTTAATGTCTCTTGCTGAATTTAAAACATAACTTTTTAATAATTAGTTTTGTAACCTAATAATGAATCATATTAATACAATAATAATTCCTAATGTTACTGATTTATCTAAAATTATGGACATAATGGCAAAATCAAGTTAATTCTTCGGAAATCTTTTATTATATCGGGTGTCCCAAAATTCACACAAGATTATAATTTTACGCCATTCGTGCGGTAAAGTGTTGCCAAAAAAAAATACAGCATCACAGCTGGCAGTTCAGGGTTATTAAAATTGGAGCGCTACACGAAAGAACAACGCGTTTTCATTGTTGAGTAATATTTTAAAACTAATGAAGGTTTGGCAAATACAGTTCTCAATTTTCATACAAAATATGGCCGGAATAGTGATTTAACTTCATCAACTGTGAAGAGATTCATTGAAAAATTCAGGAAGACTAGATCGATTAGTGCTCTGAAACCCTCGTCCAACACAAAACGTCAAAGCAGTTCGTAAGAGTGTTGCTGGCAGTCCAGGAACATAAATTAGGCACACCACGGTCAAGAATTGGACATTTTGAGAAGCTCTCTATCGTATTCTCGTGAAAGATTTGCATCTTCATGGCTTCTAGTTCAATTGACTCAAGAACTGAAGCCTACTGACCACGCAAAGCGAAGAGAGTTCGTTGAATAAATGTGGAAGTGGATGCTGATTTTTAGAAGAAAACCATCTTCGGCCTTGAGGCTCAATTCCATCTTGATCGACAAAATTATCGCATTTGAGATTAAAAAAATCCACAAGTGATTGTTGAGAAACAAATGCATCCACAGCGTGTCACTGTTTTTTTGTGCCTAAATTGCAAGACATGGATGTAGACGACATGTGGATTCAACAAGATAGTGCAATATACCATACAGCCCGAGAAACAATTCAATTACCGAATGAATTATTTCGTGGTATTGTAATTTTCCGATATTGTGATCAGAAGTGGCCGCCCAGATTATACGTTTTAACGCCGTTGGACTTTTTCTTTAAGGTTTTTTGAAGTCTAAGGTTTATTCCAATAAACCCACGACCACCCACGCTCTGCATCAATGAAATTCAGCCACATTTATGGGACAGAAAACTGTAATTTACTGGATATGCTATTTCATACATAACCCCATACTATACATGCAGTCTGATACAAATTCGCTTCTTACTACAGGGATCTTGGAAACGGTAAGAGATACGAAGTAGCATAAATAGGGGCAAAGTTGCATAATCAGAGGACCAACATTGTGCCTCTAAAAAATCAAAGCTAAGATAATTAGTTTTCGAAATATTTGAAAATAGCCGAAATTTTGGAAATCAGTTTTTGTTACATTTCTGCCATGTTTGAGGTGATATTGAAAAAAAAAGAACACTTACCCATGGGAACTTTTCCCCTCTATCGAATGGCATAATCAATTTTTATATGTAACATTTCGTCTCGCCAGGACAATCATCAACTTCATTTTTTTAAATATGATCCTGGAAACTTTATTACATTTTTTGCAAGCTTTCATGATTCCCGATACTGTTTTGCCTTAGCCTGAACCAGATTCAGTCGTTTTGTCTCGAAAAATTCATCTTCAATGTATTCGTTCCAAGTTTATCTAATTTTTTTTTTTAGATTTCTATGTTTATGGAATTATCTTACACTCTAAGTGTCGTTAAACCCTGTGAAAACCTAGTTATTTAAACTATTACCACCACACGTTACAATAAAACATTATTAGAGTTTTAATCACGTGCCCACAGTTATTTCTAGGCTTCTCGAGTGCTCAAAATTCAAACAAATTTCGATCTAATTTGTTTCAGGATATTCATACAATTACATCTGACATGCTCTTTCACAGTTGTTGTTACAAGTATAATAAATTCCGATCATATTATGCTTATCTTCATTTTCAACATTTGCCAAAACGGATGTTTTTGAACATTTAACATATACTCTAATTTTTTAAAGTATAATATTCATTTGGAGTTTTGGTTGTTCATATGCATTTTTAAGAATTAATTTGTCATAATGAAATTAAAATTGTAATAATGTTTTCATTTCGACTCAACAATTTATCGAAATATATATGACCAGGTGATGGAGATTAAAACTCTAACAATGGTTTATTGTAATGGGTGATGGTAATATTTTAAATAACTAGGTGGATTTCATAGGGTCTAACAAAACTTGGAGTGTACGATAATTCCATAAACATAGACATCTTTCCATGGTCCTATTTAAAAAAATGAAGTTGATAATGGTCCTGATGAAGAGACGAGACGAAAAAAGTTTCCATGAGAAAGTGTTTTTCTTTTTTCAATATCACCTCAAACAAGGCTGAAATGAAACAAAAACGGATTTCCACATTTTCGTTTTTTTTTCAAATATTTCGAAAACTAATCATGTTAGCCTTGATTTTTTAGAGGCATAATGTTGGTCCCCTAATTATGCAACTTTGCTCCCATTTAAGTTATTTCGTACCATTGCCAAGATCCCTGTAGTGAGAAGCGAATTTGTAACAGCCTGCATACTTCATATATTAGTAAAAAAAATTCAATTTATAATTAAAGAACTGTGTTTTCTATCAAAATTATTTTTTGTGTGAATGTTAGGACACCCTATACACCTATGAATTCTGTGAATTTTCATTTAAATTTATTTTCTCCCACATTCTGTTTCAAATTTGAACATAAAAAATGGATACCTACTAATTAATATTCAATAAGATGGAGAAAAAATACTATTGCAGCTATCTCGCATGTAAAAGATAAACTATAAGATTAATATAAAAAGTATTCTGTGCAGAGAAATTTGTAAACGATATAGAATTCTGCTATTTTGTATAAAACGTTCATACAGCCAAACGCAATTCACTAAATTATAACAGATGGCAGCACAAGTAGTTTCTAAGTCCATCGAGGACTGAATGTCATCAACCACCAATACAATTAAATATGTTTGGGACTATGTATAGACAAAATCAAAATGTTATAAAGACTTCAATGAGAATCACGACATTTTGGACAATATATTCTAAAGGTTTTCTTTAAGTTTAATATCTCAGTAAAAAGAATAAAATACTTTAACTAAATATATTTACATATTAATTTATCAATTAGTTTTAAACCTATTTGTTTTATTTGAAACATAAGAAAACAATAATCTAGACGTTATAGACAATCACACAAATGATAAATATATTAAATGAAAATGATTAAACACAATTATGAAGAAAGAACATGTTCCATAAATTTGTTACCCTATAAACTGTAAATTTGTAGATAGAAGAAAATTATATAATAAATAATAATAATAATAATATCTCTACTCCTCTTTCTAACTACGAGAATTAGCCCATAAGTCGGAGACTTGTGCGGGAGAGGAGGCGGCATATTATTATTAGGCAGTAACCACCATTCAGTGCAGAAATGAGGGAAACCTGGAAAGCCTCATTAATTAGGGGGGTGGTCAAATGCCAACTGGTGTCAATCTCTCACATTGACCCAAGCCAACATTCTTCCACCCTACCATACCTGCACAGAGGGTGCCAATCCTCCGTACAAGCATAGCTAATATACGGACTACCGGCCGCGGGAATCGAACCCGGGCAGAAATTTGCACACGATTAAAGGACTGACGCCTTAAACCGTGCGGCTATCGACCGACATAAATTGTCAATATCTTTACTTAATAACTATAAAAATAATTATAATGAATAGGTAACTATCAAAATGCAAATACAAGAATCATCAACTTTCTCTCGATTTTAGCATCACAAAACATGTTCGGTTAAAATTAATTTAAATGATAAAAAGGTTCATGCAAATTAAGACAGTTTAGTTTTAATTAAATAAATCACAATTATGTAACATTATCACAATAAAATACATAATAATTAAGTGCAAACTTACCTCGTAACCCGCACTGGGATAATTCAGTTTTTGAGAATGTGTTGTTCCAAACACAAAATGCCAAACAACACATGCATACTGGAGATAAGAAGTTAAACTGTAATTTTGTTGTTCATAAATCTGCTTATTGAGTACATCACTAAAGACAAACCATTCCAAACATTCACTAATGCCTTCAAACGAAGAATCTTTCAGTTTTAACAAAGGATAATTTTCAAAAACTCCTTGGGCCACTCTATCATAATCTCCAAATGACGAAACCGTCTGTAAAACTTTTTTCATGCGAGATTTTAAAGTTTCTTTCAAACTTGTAGAATTAGCTGAATTGGATTGAAGTTTCGATTTTTCAATTCTAAATATCTCCTGCCAAACAGAAAAAAGGCCTGAAAATATCAAAAGCTTATATTATAACAAAAATATATAAAAATTAAGATTGTGTTTAAGAGAAAGAACTAGATGAATTTAGATACATAAATAACTAAAAAAAATGTTAAGATTTATTTTGTTATTCATTTCAAGAAACTTTGAGAATCATAAAATTAACAAAATTTTATTTTACATAAATATTGAAAAATATTAAATTATACAGTGTAATAAAAAAGGTGCCACAAATTTAGGTGCTAGAAAAACATAAAAAATAAGATTATTTTTTCCTATGGATGAAGAATACATTCTATTACCCATCGTTTTTAAGAGATTGAATGTGCCAATGATAACTTTTTAAAATAAAATTTTGGACCTATCTTGGTCATAATACAGGAATAAAATAAGAAAAAGCTTAAATGTTATGCGATTTTCATTTATTTTCAAGCTATGATGTACACTTCAATAAAAAATAATAATTTATTGACATTCTATAAATCACAGCATTCTTTAATTAAGGAGGTTTATCGGGTACATCTAAAGTCAAATGAGAGTTTCTGTAGATTCGCTAGTGACTAAAGTAGTAAGCCTTTAGATTTGGCAACATTGCACTTGGCTGGCACACTCGGCTCAGCGTTCGCTTGCTTACGTTCGATCATTCTGTTTGTTTAATATAGCTTATATTAATTTTTTTATGAATATTTGTTTGTCAATTCCATATCAAATAAACCTCCTTAAATGTTCAAAAACACCACCATTGACCTCTAAACACATTCTGCTTCGTCTACAAAGGGTGTCTGTAGCTCTCTTGATTGCTGCACGTCTTTTTTTTAATATAAATGCTGTAGTATTGACGACATGTAGAATTAGTACGCTCTAACTTCGTACACTTAATTTTTTAACCTACCCCATAAACAGTAATCTAGTGCTGTGAGGTCTGGAAGTCTTAGGGACCAACTAATAGGACCACCGTGGCCAATACAAAGGCCTCTAGTTCAAATGTAGCTTGCATGGAAGAGCGAAATGTGCAAAAGCTCCATCGTGCTGGTAGTACGTTCATATTCTCATGTTTATAGAAACATCCTCTAGTAGTAGGTACTTGCAACTTGTTTAAAAAAAAATTAAGTTGTCACATTTGCCAAAAATTTATGCTGAAAATTACTTTCGAGTGTTGCGTGAGGATTTTCGTCTGACTATACAAAAGAGTTCCAAGTAGAGAATTTGATCCCAATAGCTTTTCAGTCCCAAAATTTTCAAGATTAAGTTTTCTTGATCCCGAGATTTTCGGGATTGACATCATTTTAAAAAAGTTGCAAAAAGATTACGTGAAGCAAAACGCTCAGTGCCAGTGCTCTCAACAGAATTGCTTACCTATCATTTTAATATAAAATACAAGTAACCTTGCTTTACTACCAACTTACTAAGTTGTTACATGAAAGTCGATGTTAAGAGAGATTTTGTGTTAATTTTCAAAGTTTATTTGTATAGTCTGTTACATAAAATTTATATAAGTTTAAAGAGATCTATTTGATTTTTGAAAAATAACAACTTTAACATGAAGACTGAATGATTTGCAGTCTGGTTAGTCTGACTCTAAGTTTGATTAGTTAGTGATTAAATTAGCTAGGTGTATACAGTAAAATATGTTGATTTTTGTCTAAATTTTGATTACGTTGATTTTAATCTAAATTTCGATTACATTGATTTTTTATTTTTGTTTGTTGATTAAAGAACAGATTTTTGTAAAATTTTCTTATTTTTTATTTGTAATCAATACCGAAATAAGCCCGGGATTGACTAAGTATTATTTCGAACTCCCAGGATTAGACATAAGGGTTGGGATCGAATTCCCTAGTTCCGAGTATTAGTTATGTCGTTACAGTTAAATGTTGCTTCATCCGTAAAAAGTATGCGGGATACAAAATGATTATAATTGATCTATTGACAAAACTCAATATGTATAATCTTCCGGTTGTAGGTGATGTAATCTCTTTACATGGCACGGATATAAGCCTTGTTTGTGGAGGGCTTTTTTGTGGAATGCTCAATTGAGTAACAATTCTTCGTGAGCTAGTAGCTGCATCATCTATTATTAGTCCTAGAATACTTTCTACACCTTGTCAATGAGATCGTTCAGATGTTATATTAACATTGGGAAGCATTCCGGTTTTGCACAGTTTGTTGAAAACTGATAAATATATTTTTATCAGGACATCCCTCATGTGGAAACCTTTGACGATATTCTTCAATAGCAGCATTAGCATTCCCAATACAAAAACCATAAACAAACACCATATGCATAGTCTCAATTTGAATAAGTTCTTGGCATTTTGTAACACTGATCATACAAACGTGTTATCAAATGTTAAACTATTGCAACATAAAATTAAACTAACAAATAACTTTTGAACTTGGAAGATGACATTCTCTGATTTCAAATTTTTAAAATTTGTAATTACACTATAACTTGAAAACAAATGAAACTCTTATTATTTTGACGTGTAGAATTCATTCCTGGAGTTGGTGCGAATGTTCCTATTCACCCTGTATTGCATTGAAATTTGGAGGAACATCAGTTTTTTTTATGTTAAATATGCAGTTGTGTTTAATTTTCAAACTATTTTATACAGGTCATTTACATTTTTTTTTTTTAAATCTTTTTTATTTCAATTTAGATTTTCTGAATTATACAGTCTTGCAAAATGATGTAGGTATTTTAAATGAAATCTTATGTCCTTTTTTTATCATTATGCACCTTTACTGTTGCTCCCTGCTCTGTAATTGAACATAAAATTGCAAAAAAATATGTTTGTGTAGGGACTGAAATTAGATGACTTGGATAGTATATTGCATTTTCTGGAAAACAATTTATTACTTTTTAAATAAATACATACCTTTTTGCATATCTTTCTGACCTATACTCGCTTTGTGAACTTCGGAAAGAGTGACTGGTTTATTCTGACCTTTGAAAAAATGTAATACTGTCAAACAGGACCTGATATCATTGTTGCTCTTTTCAGCCAGTGCTAACATAGCACCAAGGTCAGTTTTAACGTTTTCCTTCCGTGCTATTTCCATAAGCCTCTCAGCTAATCTGGCACTTGACGTAGGTGGAAAACTAACAACAAAAGCAATTTGCCTTAACGGCCGTAAAGACGGAACGTAAACATCATTACAAATGCATATAATGGGTCTTTTCAAAATAAACTTCTTTTCAGATTTGTCTTTCTTAGCTTTTGATGAAGCAGTGCCACTTATAAATTTAACCAAATAGTCTATAGACGATGGGGGTGCCCCGTCAATTTCGTCAAATATGAGACAATTTGGACGTTTTTTCTGATCTATTACAGAGCGCATTTGAGTGGCATTCTCCAAACAGGTTTTAAACGCTTCTGTGTTGCGATCATCTGATGCATTTATTTCAATAACATTGTAACCTGCATGTTTAGCCACCATATGGGCCAACGTTGTTTTTCCTGTAACAAATAAAGAATTTCAGAAATTATTATCTTTACTCAAAAATTTAACCCGCATAATATTATCAATATTATTAATATCAAAATGTTAATAGTCTCAAAGCAATGTTTCAAATTAATGTTGTAATAGTTTCTAATTTGTCACACCCACTAATATATGAAGCTCTATCGGACCAGTCAGAGAAAAGTTTCATTATCCTCTGCTAGAGGGCACTTTACCTAGAACTCAAAATTTATTTTGTTCATAACTTCTTTCTCTTGCAACTTGATTAATTGCAAAAAGAATTATCAACAATTTGATGTTTAATAACATTTTAATAGCGTTTTCCTACTAAACGGTTAAATTTATAGACTTGAATAAAGAGTACATAATTTTTTCTGATATTGTTTCTCTTTTCAAGATATGTTTAAATTTCTGTGATGTCTAGCAACAGAAAAAAGTTAGGAACAAAACAAATTTTGTGTTCTCGGTAAAGTGCCCTCTAACGGCACATAATGAAACTTTTCTCTGACTGGTCCAATAGAGATTCATCTACTTAGTGGGTGTACCATATGAGAGACTAACGGAACTTGAATTAAATAATTTATTGAAATAGAAATATAAAAAAAAATTAACTTTGGCAAGCTGTAACTAGCAAACAATTGACAATTCGAACAAATTTTCATTACATAATGCAATTATTTTAAACCGTAGAATCACCTCCCGGAGTTTCCTGACGGAATTTCCGAACACACTGTGTACGGGGTCAACTATTATGGAAATAAATGCACTAAAAATATTTATATTGATTTTTATTTCATCAAAGAATACTAAGAAATATTAATTTTGTAAATGGTAACTAATTAAAGAGCATTTTCAAAAATACCGCCACCAACTTCAATGCACTTGTTGCTCTTCGATTGATGTTGCGAATAGTACAATTTATAGCATTTCTTATTACAGAGGCCGTATTCATAATGTGATCAAGTAATGCTTGTCTTGTGTCTATCTTTGTTTCTTACACCAATGACTTCATCCATCCCCAACCAAAATAATCGAGTGGGTTTAGGTCTGGAGACCTGGCTGGCCAATTTATTGAACCCTCCCCTCCCCTTACTAATCCAGCATCCAGGAAAATGATTGTACCTGAAGAGTAAAGTGGGGAGGGGCCCCATCATGTTGAAGTACATATAATCGTTGTCAAACATTTACAGGAACTTCCTCTAAAATTCCTGTAAGATGCCCATTTAACGCAACACACTAATTATGCCACACCAAATATTGATGCTGAATCGATGCTGAAAATTGTGTTTAAACGTTGCATGAGGGTTTTCTACTGACCATTGTGAAAATTATTTATACCATCACGAGTGAATTGAGCCTCATCAGTGAATAAAATGTACTCATTTATTGTAGGATTTTAACTAATCCATTTACAAAATTGTAACCTTTGAACATGATCGTCATCTTCAAGATGTTGAATGGGCTGGATATGGAAAGGCTTTAAACTATTTTTCTTAAGTATATTAAAAGCGACTTTCTGTGTATTCGCAGAAGTTTGCAATCCTCCTCATACTTTCCCTCAGGTTTTCTTCAAACTTATTGAGAATATTCTCTTCGGTTCGTATGACAAGATTTTCTCTTTCACTAAAAATCCTTGCGCTCGGAAAAACTGAACTCTGGTGAACAATATTTGGAAAACTTTTCTATTAGGGACCCTCCAGTTAGGAAATCGCCGTCGATATTCATAAACTGCGTGGACTGGATTTCCATTACAAAACCCATAAACAAAAATTATATCCGCATATTCCCCATGGGTGAATATTTGGGGCATTTTAGGAATCCGTAACTAAATCAGTTAATGTCCAAACTGACTGATTATAATCTGACAATTAATTTGACTGGCGGCTAAACATAGAATTGATATCCTCAATTGCAAATGCGTTTTTTGCACTGTTATATGTGACTGATTTGTTAAAAAAGAAACAGGCCTAACTTTTGGAAGAAAGTTCATTGTATAAAAAAATAAATACTTAGTTATTTCAACAATAGTTTACATTCAGACTATAATTTATGGGTTTATTTTTGTTATTTTGACCCTCTGAAGCTACAGTACTTCCCGTTCCTCCAGAATCACCCTGTATATTACCAAACGTTTAAGAGTATCAAATTTATAGCAATCTTTTGATGCAATCAAAGTATAACATAGTATTTCTATGACAATAATACCACATTTAAAATTTAGCACTGTAAATTGGCATATTTTCAAGTTTGTGATTGGTTGTACTTTGCTATGTAGTGCTATTACTGATTTCTCCTGTTATTGTTTTTGCTTTTTGCACTTGTATGGCCACAATCCTCTTTACAATGGATGATGTAGAAAGAATAATAATGTAGTGAAGAGTCCTTCAATAGCTTTTATTCTGTATCTGAAAAGAAACAATTAAGCCAAACTTAAAACCCTTAATAAATTAATTTACACATATTGTTTTCTCAGATCATACAACATAGACCTATACAATTTTTTTAAGAAAAAAAACATCAAAAATGGTGCTTATACCCTTCGACACATCCATGGTTCATTCAAACTAAAACAATTTGATCTAAATCATTTATTTTCACTAGTCTTGATGGTTTATCCCTTTCTGGACACTCTGCATAGTCACATAAACATTAGACAACAGAGTTCGTCTAATTATTGACACTGCCATACAATGTTAGGGTAGCAGATCTAAGAACATATACTACAAAAAGATGGTTTGTTACATAAACTATCATGATAAATAATGATAATAAAGGTAACAAATGCATTAAATATAATAATGATAAATGCGTAATTTGTAAAATCTGAAAGTGCGCTTAGCAATGTCCTCTGGACCCTCACAGCACAAGAGACAAAATTTGTGGATCATCCACTTAGTACATGATGTTTATCAGCAAGTACAGGAGTAAGTAAATCTTCCATTTGCAGAATACTCCAAAAGAAAAATTTCATTTCATGCCGATTCAAAATTTGTTAATCACGGATCTTCCCGTACGGTTAGAATTTACAGAATTTCTTCATAATAAACAAAACAAAAGTCACGATTTTTTAGAAACATCCTCTCATCAGACGAGGAGGATTCACTTGAAGAAATTCGCAGTACTGAGATGTCGAAAATCTGAACTTTGGGAGTCACACTTTCAATACGAATTTAAAATTCATTTGTGGTGTGGGATCATACAAGGTCTCTTGCTGGATCCATATGAATTACCATCAACTGTAATTGGTAATTCTTATTTGAATTTCCTGTGACCTGAACTCTTTGATGAAATATAAACTTGGCCTTTAGACACCAGACAGAACACGTGGTTCACGCAGGACAAGGCGCCATCTCGCTATTCCCGCGAAGTGTGCACTTATTTAACTGAGCAATTTTCTCATTAATAGTGTGGGAATCTGCAGTAAAATCTGCAAAGTACCACATAAAGACAGTTATTGATAATCGTCGATTGACGTTTGAAGAGTTTAATATTGTCGTCGCCCAGGTTGAATCATGTTTAAATTTGCGTCCTTTTACTCCCGTAACTGAGGATCCTGACGATTTGAACATTATTACCCCAAGTCATTTTCTAATTGGTACGTCATTATGCGCCTTACCCCAAGAAGACCTAAAGTCCTACAATCCAAACAAAATAAAATGGTTTCATCTAATGACTCAAATTGTGCAAGATTTTTGGACAAAATGGTCTAAGGAGTACTTAAGTCAACTGCAGCAGCACAGCAAGTGGCATACTTCAAAAGAGCCGATCAAAGATGGTGCTATGGTAGTGATCAAAGACGAAAATTTACCACCACCTAAGTGCCAGCTAGAGTGATGGAGTTACATTTTGGAAGTAAGTAATATGTGCCGTGTTGTATCAATGAAAACAGCTAAAGCTGTGTTCAAAAGAGCCTTGACTCAATTATGTGAACTGCCTAATGATTAAAAATTGAATTGATATTACGCTGATATGTTTAGTACATAGTTTAGTATTTCTATATTTCTACTTGATTGTTGTTCATGGGTTTATGTATACAAGTATGTTGAAAGACAGGCTTTCAAGGCTGGCGGTATGGTCAAGACGTAGCAGCTTTGTTTTTCGTGTTTTTGTTCGAGTTGTTGTTTACTGTCATATTGACATCAATACATTTTTTCGAGTCCGATCTCAATAAAGAAGGATCCACGAACTGTGGCTCCTGCAAGCCTGTCAGATTACAGATAAAAAATACAGTCCACAAATAAAAAGAGTCTTTCATTAACAATACAGATAGAATGAAAGAGGTAGTGAATATCGATGGCCACCTAGCTCGTAACCCTGATTTAAATTCTTAAGATTATTACTTGTGGGACCATTTGAAAAAATTTTTTTATCCTCACCCAATTAATAATTGATAAGCATTATGGGGCCAGATACTGAATGCCTTACAGTTTATTAGAAATGAAGAACATATTTTTAAAAGCCCAAATCTTTAACAAAAAGTATTAAAAAATGTATGGAAGTAGATGGAAGCCATTTTGAAAATTTAATAAAATAATTCACAGATATAACAGCTTTGTTCGTAAACCTTACACTGCTGCACTAGTGTAGTAATACGTTGTTCGTTTATTGCAGTGTAGCCAAGTNAAAAATACAGTCCACAAATAAAAAGAGTCTTTCATTAACAATACAGATAGAATGAAAGAGGTAGTGAATATCGATGGCCACCTAGCTCGTAACCCTGATTTAAATTCTTAAGATTATTACTTGTGGGACCATTTGAAAAAATTTTTTTATCCTCACCCAATTAATAATTGATAAGCATTATGGGGCCAGATACTGAATGCCTTACAGTTTATTAGAAATGAAGAACATATTTTTAAAAGCCCAAATCTTTAACAAAAAGTATTAAAAAATGTATGGAAGTAGATGGAAGCCATTTTGAAAATTTAATAAAATAATTCACAGATATAATGTATGTACTGTTCAGTTATGTTTATGTTTACAGTTTTGCTCTTGGTAAAATAAAAATTATATTACATTCAATTTTGTTACTTTCTAACTTTCTTGTCATACAGTGAACTTTTAAATGCAAATATCTCGAAAGCAAGCAACATTAAGAAGGTACATCTTTCTGATACAAAAGTGATGGAAAAAGAGATAGATATTGCCATCAGAAAATAAGATACAGTGTGTAGCACAAATTGTGTAAAATGTAAAATTTCAAAGAGGCGAAGTAGGTAAGTACGTGGCATCCTATAAAATGTATGGCCAAAATTATGAGAAAATTTGAATTTCTCATGTTAAAAAACACTATGATTCCAAATTTCGTTTAAATAAATGAATTACCTCAATGGTTATTTAAAAAAATTGAAAATAAAATATTAATTTTTACATCCTGTAACTTACTTACTGTCAACTGGACCAAGGTAAGTTTTATCAAATCACGTTACAGATCACCTATTACTTATGTTAATTACTTTCCTCATCGAATAATTTAACTTGCTTTACTTTTTCCAATCATTGTTCTAGAAAATACTGTATACTAACCCAATCCAGGTGGCCCACACAATAAAGCAACCTTATGTTCAGGTCTGCCATGTTCGTCCAACTTTGTATTGAGTTCCTGCCTTTTAAAAAATGGTTTCTTGTTACCATCGTTGGGTTTCATTGGCTTAATTTTCGGTTTTCTATTAAAAACTGCCTTATCCCAAAGCTTCATCCAACGCAACATTATTCTATTTGTGCTTTCATCACTTAAAAGTTCTAAGTATTTTCTTGGTTTGTATAGGTCAGCCCACAATTGTTTATTTTCATCAATTTGTTGGATAATTGATAGCTCATTATCTACTTCTAGTGTTTTTGACGAATCCATCTGCACATTTATCTGGAAATTGAAATAATGTTATAACTACTTTTATATAATTCATAAAGAAAGCACAAACCAAGTTGCAAGCCTCATTCCATATTTCTTTAAAACCATCCCCCATAACTCCATGAAAAGAAATTTCTTTCACAATTCTGTCCGTATCTTCTTTTTCAAAGTCTTCAGAGTGAAATCTTACATAAATCCTCTCTTTATCCTGTCTAGTAATAGTAATAAATGGATATTTGGGTACACTGTATGATAAATTACGTTTGTCTCTCTCTATACTAGAAGCAGAATAATCTTTTTTAGTGGTTATACAGTGTTTTTCTTTTGATAATTTTCTTAGCTCTAATATATGGTCTATTAATGCAAGATCTTCTGAATGTGCATCAGATTTTTGTTTCTTTACGTTAGGATGATCGTCAAATATTATGTCATCTTCAATATCATCAATATCACCAAACAACTCATCTACAGTTCGTTTTTTACTATTTGACTGTTGTGATGGAAAAATTGATCCCTCTGTTTGAGTATCAAAAAATAAATCGTTAACGGAACTTAAAGGTTGAATATCATTAGAACTTTCACTAGGAGGATTCTCATTGACTTGAGATGTTGAAGGTGTGCTAAAATCTAAACTTTTTCTGCTTTTAGGTGGTGGCTGATAGAGTTCTAAAAATGAAAATATATTCATATATACCTAACCCCAGTTTTTTATGGAATATTACCTTCATCATGTTCTTTCATTAAATCGAACTCATCTCCGTACAATAATTCAAATTCTTCTTCAGGATCTAGATAATCACCCATTTTTTTTTAAACTAGTCACTTAAATAGATATAAATATTGACGCAATACAATTAAGGTTAAGAATTTGATGTTTTCGAATTCCCGCCAAAACGCCAAAACAAGAAAAATTAACACTGAACAACTGAACACATAGAGTGAAGTCTATAATGTCGTATTCCACCCTTCGAGCGAGCTTCAGGATTTCAGTACACCCCGTATATTCATAGAAGTCATAATCTTGTACCTACGGATATGCCGGAGACCGCTGAATTGAAAAGGAGGCGAAACATTCATATTCACCTGCCTTTCCAATTCAAACCAAAAACCC